AGGAGTAATGGGAAGAGGAAGAAAAGGTGGAGGAGGCAGAGGATAGGAGCTGATGAGGTGGAGAGAGTTGTTAAAGGGGGTGATGAATGAGGCTGGTTCCTGACAAGAACTCAAGGGAGAGAGAGGCCTGCAGAGGCAGGAACAATTGTGTTGGGTCCTGTGGGACAAAGGCGCTACAAGGTAAGCAAAGACACTGCCCTTAGTCCCACAGTGCTGGAGAGTCTTTTGGAGGAAACCATTTACTAAAGCAAGGTGTCTAAATGCCTCAAACAAGGGATAAGGAGTGAGCACGCTGGTTCCTGACAAGAACTCAAGGGAGAGAGAGGCCTGCAGAGGCAGGAACAATTGTGTTGGGTCCTGTGGGACAAAGGCGCTACAAGGTAAGCAAAGACACTGCCCTTAGTCCCACAGTGCTGGAGAGTCTTTTGGAGGAAACCATTTACTAAAGCAAGGTGTCTAAATGCCTCAAACAAGGGATAAGGAGTGAGCACAGGCAATCAATCAGTCTACACTTCTGAAGGAGGAAACTGACTTTGAAGTTAAGTTCAGATGTGTGATAGAAAGCATGCAGCTTTCCTGATCATCTTTGATAGAATATGTGAATTGCAGAAGAGCGACAAGCTTCATTAGGGAAAGCCATAAATCCCTTAAAGTGTCTAACTGGCCCTAAATTAGCAGCCTGGCTTTGCTCGAGCCTAGCCTTGCTCAAGCCTTATCAACTGGTCACTTCCTGAACTGAGAGAGAGACTGTTTGCGGAGCCCACCTGTCTCCTTTGGTGCTATGGATAACTCATCCACCTGTCTGAGAAAAGAGACCCTCAAGGACACCAGACCCTGGCACTGAGTTAACTCTTGCAGCTGTGTGTGGCAGAGTTCCTATATAAGACCAGACTGCTCCTTCTTCAGTGTGCAATAATCATTCCTCGAGGAAAAGAGCTGTCAGCCCTTTGCTGGGCTTCCTGAATCCAGGGAGCTCATTCCTTGCCTGTTGCAGGTCTGGCTCTGACTCTTATTTCTAAACTTTAAACTCGTTCCTTTTCGCAACTCCTAAATCTAACGATCTTCCCCTCTGGGTTTCAGTGTTTTCTGCCTCTGTCCATCAGTATCACAAGCTGCTTTCCCTGGATCGCATTCCTCATGAAAAGGAAATCCCACATGCAGCCCTTTGAGTTTCTTAGCTGTAGTATGAGGGATATTAGCAAGTGCCACCAATGTCCCTGTCATTTAACTGTCCCTACTCACAGAGACAATATGAAGAAAGAGAAAGATTATCCTAACCCTTTGTTAAACTTCAGCCGTGTGTCCATTGGTCTCTAACTCAAGACAGACCATACTGACACTCAGTGACCTTCTGACCTGACAATTCCCCTCTGGATTTTGGGAAACCTGTGCCCCATCTCACACTCAGGAGCAGCCTATCCTGGCTATGGCAGTGTCTCAGAACACTAACAGACTCTTCTCATCCCTGTCCCAGAGCTTCAGACCCCATGTACCTGAGCAGAGAGCTCTGCAGAGCTGAAGATACTCAGAAGTGAGATGAGCATCCTTACCTGCCCTTGCTGCTCCTGGTGGATGGACTGGTGTTTCCACCTGTCTCTTTTCTCCTCCTCCAATGTTGTGAGACTTTCTGGACTCTGAGAGCAGTTAATGGAATGCACAGTAACAGTTATAAAGCATCAGAGTGAAAATGAACCTGGCTATCACTGTCTTTTCAGTATTCAGAGTGAAAATGAAAGTGCTTAGTTTGGTGAAATGACTCAACAACCATAAAGGTTGTTTCTGGAGCAGAGCTAGTGTGGGGGGCGGGGCGGTGTCATGACATCTCTGACAGAACTGTCAGGCATTTGATTGGAAGAAATCTTCGTAACCAATTCCTGTTTTTAAAAAATGTTGCGCATGGTAGCAAATACCATTAACCCCAGCCCTCGAGAGACAGACTGGTAGATCTCTCTCAGCTTGAGGCCTGGTCTACATAATGGTTTCCAGCCCGGCTAGGACTTGGGAGATCCTGTCAAAAAAAAAAAGTTTTTAATGTCCTTTATATAAGGAATACATGCAATGACTCTGAAGTTTGGGGGACAGTGGTAGCATCTAAGAACAAAGAGACATTGTATTAAAGTCTAGCTGCCTAAAAAGCAGGCGCAGTATAGCTGATTCTCATTTCAGAGAGGCAGTTGAGTGGGGGAAAGAGTGTGTGCTCCACCCTCCTGAATACACAGGATCTGCTACTGTCTCTGGGCAGAGTCAGGAATAGCTCTCCACATTGTACGATATTACAGGCTCAGTGACTTAAATCCATTTAAAAAATACTTGGCATGACTTTACAGAGAATGAAACATGGTTGGAGTGCATTAGTTTTCTCACATCACAGAACTCTACAATCTGAAGTCCAACAATTTTGACTACAAAGCTCCTGATCCTTATATTTTCTTCATTGTTTTGTTTGTTTCTTCATTTATTTGTTTGTTTGCTTTTTCAGTGCTGGGGATTGAACACAGATGTTTGTGCATGCTAAGCATGTGCTCTGCCACTGAGCTATATCCTCAATTCTCTTTCTTTTTTCGGGGGAGGGTCTTTTTTGAGACAGGGATTCCCTGTAGCCCCAGCTATCCTGGAACTCGCTATGTAGACCCAGCTAGCCTTGAAAATCATCTTTCTTTTAAAAAGATATTTTATCTTGGTTTTTATTTTATGTGTGTGAGTGTATTGCCTGCATGTATGTAAGTGCGCCCATGTCACACAATGTCCGGGGAGGTCAGAGGAGGGTATCATATCCCCTGGAACTGGAGTTACAGACAATTGTTAGCCACCGTGTGGGAGCTAGAAACCAAACCCAGGTCTTCTGCAACAGCAGCTGCTGCTCTTAACTGCTAAGCCATATTTCCAGCCCCTCAATCCTATTTTTATTTTGAAACAAGGTCTCATTAAGTTATCTAAACTGTATTTCAACTCATTCTATAGCTCAGGATAGCCTTCAGCTTGAGATCTTCCTGCCTCAACCTTCAGAGAAGCTGGGATTACAGGCCTGCACCCATAGGTCCTGCTCCCAAGCTACAGTCTGTAACTTCTTGGGGCATCACACTGTGCTTCTCTCTGTTTGATGAGAAAAAAATTGTGAACGCAATGGCTTTTATTTATAAACTGTTTTCTAAAGAAATGTGTTTAAATTTTAACTTTAAACTCTGTTTCTCTCCCTGCTGCTTCTGTAAGGAAAGAGGAGAGAAGGGAGAAGAACGGAAGGATTTGCAAGCTTCTCCACTGATGTCACCATATGCTTAAGGTTGCTCTGGTCCCTAACGCCACTGTCTGAAATTTGAGAACTAGAGATAGAACCTCTTTTTTTCTTTCCCCTCTTGCCATAATCTCTTGAAGCGTTTCTGGGCTATCTATCTGCATCGCTCAGCGCTGCAGAAATACACCCAAGTACTTTCTTTCTGGAGGTGTCTTTGCATCTGCTTTTTTGCATCTCGGTGTTTCTGCTCCTGATCTTGGTCCAATCTTTCATCCACTTCAAGTCTTCACTTAAAGGCAATCTCAGAGAGCTTGGCGTGACCCTTCTTTTGATGTCACCTGCATCTTGGTTTCCTCTGTTTTTCACTTCTGATGGTCTACAATCCAAGTTCATATCAGGAAGCTCATGCATTTACATGTGTCCCCAGCATCTAGAATGAGGCTTGGCTTAAGAAAAATGAAGCACAACAGAGGTTACATGTTACCAAAATCAAAATGATTCTGAATATAAGGCAAAACACATTTCTGCTCAGTTGAGAATATAAAATTTGGAGTTTAGACAAAATAGTAAAATGTCTGTATGAAGTGCTCTTGCAGAGGACCTAGGTTGGGTTCCCAGCACCCACACTGTGGCTAACAGCCATCAGTAACTCCAGTTCCAGGGGATCTGACACCCTCTTCTGACCTCCAAGGGCTTTGCATGACACAGGTGCACCTACCTACATGTAGGCAATACACTCATACACATAAAATAAAAATAATAAACAAAATAGTAAAAGAAAAATGCGTTTGTAGGACCACTTTGATAAAAGTTCCTTAAACAAAAATTCCTGTATATAGCAGCAATTCCATTTCTAGGCAAGTAGAGAAGTGAAAAGATATGTCCACCTTTGAAAGTGCTCGTAGTCACATTGTTGGTCATAATTAAAGCACACACACCACTACAATGTCCAACAGTTGATGAACTGGTAAAGGAAATGTCATACCCATACAATATAATGCTTATCACTAGAAATGAACACTAACAGATAGGTAGATACATAGATGATAGATAGATAGATAGATAGATAGATAGATAGATAGATAGATAGATAGATAGATAGATGATAGATGATAAATAGATAGATAGACCTCAAAAACACCATCATCATAACGGTAACAGTGGACAGAAAGAACGTTGTATTTTATAATTCCATTAATGCAAAACATTCTGAGTTTGCAAGGTGAGAAAACATATGATAGTGACTAGGACAAGGAAAGGGGAGAACACAGAGTAATGATTAGTAAGTTTATGGTTTTGAAGTCAGGTGAAGAAGCAGTGCTGGAAGCAGAAAGTACCAAGGATTGCACAATATTGTGAACCTTTCCTGCTGGTGAATTTAAAACTTTAAATGCCTAAAATGGTACTACATTTCTTGTTATATGGAGTTGGCCACGATAGTTTTAAAGGTCATGACAACCACATGGAAAATGTCTTGGAATCAAACATGAATTTTTTACCAAAACATCAACCTTGGAAATACATTCACCATGGCCTCCAAAAATAATCAGCCTACTTCTAGAAAGATCTATGAGAGCTGGCTACCTAAAGAAATAACAAAAAAAGCAAAATTCTGGAACACTTAAAAAAGATGTTCTATCTCTACTTTATCCAACTTGAACAGACCTCCGTTGTTATGCTTTCAAATGTACACGTGCAATGGTTTTCCAGTCGAGAAAACATCCTCTATTGGGGTGTCCAAACTTATGGTTTCTTTGGGCGACATTAGATAAGAAAGAATTGTCTTAGGTCACATATTAAATATGCAAACATAAAAGAAACTGAAAGGTATCTTTACACAGGTTTGTAATTTTCATGATATCTACTACCATAGATAAGTAAACATTCTTTCATAATAGGGACTGGAGATTCCATAGGTCATTCAAGGCCACTGAAATGGTATTTCCTTCCAAGATGCTTCAAGGGCTTCTAGAAACTGAGAGCAATAACGATCATCTTCTGTAATAGGCTCATTTCTGAGAAATCAGATCCTCGCTTGTTGTAGAAAATCATTAACTCACTTTTAAAAATGAAAGTCCTAGCTGACTTCATAGGGAGCACTCAGGGAAAACAAGACAACCACAATAATTACCTGTTGACAAGAGTAAGCCATACCTGAACTACATTAATGTCTATACCAAACACTAAACCACATACTAAACTCACTAATATAAAATGAAACAAAACACGTAATACGGGAGAGGACACATTCTATGATTCTCTTAATACTAAATACCAAAGCAGTCTGGTGATTTCTATTTGATCAGCAGGGACACTGAAAGGACCCTACTGAGAGCATGAGGAAGGTTTTGAGGGAAGTGCTAAGTTCTATTTTTTCATTTGTATGCCTGCAATATACATACATTTGTTTTATTTAAAAAAATATCTAAAGTTGTGAAACTGGAGAGATAGCTCAACAATTAAG